CAGGATTTATTGCCCTGTCTCGTGGTATTCAATTGAGTTTGCAATGGTCGATATCCGAATCTGAAGTGAAGGAAATTGAAAGGTAAATATTCATTGTTGAGTTGTAATTTATGTAGTGATATTTACTTGAACATTATATTTGCTTATGATAGATGCTTTAAGACTTGGTTTGATTACCTCGATACCTGTCTTGATAGCAGCTCTATCTCCAGAACCGTATTCAGATCGAACATGCACCAACTGAACCATATACCATACATGATAAAACGAATGGGGTTAGTTATCGATTGTCATCATAGTTATTAGACTTCCCTTTTGTACTAATTTTTCATTTCTCTGGTAGACCGTTAAGGTGTTATTCTGCAAGATCATTGGAAAGGTCTATTGGCATATACAAGAAGCGAATCCGTTCATCTTTGAATCCTGGTGTCAACGCCGGTAATGTCATGGAAACTCGTGAAATGTTCTCTTTTTTGCAATCCGATGGTATAATCGATAGTTCCGCCTATGATTTGAAGAAGGATAAAGTCAACAACTTCTTGCCCCACCCGTCCAACGATCCATTGTTGCCTCAGCTGTGGTCACCCTTTCACTGGCGGGTAAATACTGTAAAGCTGGGCCAGGTTGTAAAGCAAGCAAAAGAAAAGCACAATCATACCATTGGCGGCTACCTGGCAAGAGACTGGCTTAAAGCACTCTCTCAATTTTTGATTCGTCTGACTGGTAATACTTCGGCTGTTATAACTTCGTTCCATCAGCACCAATTTGTCAACATTTCTCAAAAACTCTGGACAAACAATCAAATATACATATCTGATTTGTGCAAATCGAAGAACGCAGCAAGTTCGCGTGGTGGTGAGTTTGTTATGTTTACTGCAATTCATAAAAATCGGTAAGTTGATGTTTGCAAATCAAAATTATTGTGTACTGACTTATTGTAATTAGGATGTTCCGGCCTGTCGAAAACTGGTACGTTTGTAAAGTCTTGTTCTTTTTTGACTTTACATATCAAGAAGGTGCTCCGGGCTCGAACTTCGTTTTTGGTGAACTTATGAAGAATCATGACGTCTCACCATACTCAAAGGCTATCCCGCGCGTGAAACCTTACGATGAGGCTGAGCAAAAAAAATTTGTGGTCTTTGATGCCGAGGATCTTTTGTCTGCTGTCGGATTGGTGAATGCGGTTGACGGCTCCAATAACAAATATGTTATAAAGACTGGTGACGCTTTTAAAGTCGATATGAGTAGTACTGCCGGAAGTGTTGGAAACATTGTTTTCCGCTGAGAATAAAATACAAAATCATTAAAACCCACAGTCACATGTCCCGTTTTCTCATTTTACTTACGTAATCTGAAGTTGTCTTTTTCTTACCCTGGCTATCATCCCCATAAACATTTTTTTTCTTTAAAAAATTACGTTTATCTATTAACATGGTATTGCTACATCTATTTATTTATGTATAAGTTGTTTTTATAGAGATTTAAAAATTTGGCTTTGCGATCAGCGATCAAAAAATCAAAAATATCGGAGATATCGATATTTTCGATTTTTTGAGCGATATCGCCAATATCGATCAAAAAAAACATTTTGATCGCTGATTTATTTTAGGGTGTATGTTATTTCATAAATTCACATGAAATGAGAGGACGAATCAGTTTTTTTTCTTTTTTTTTTTTTTTTTTTTTTTTTTCTGGCAGAAGGAGTATAAATTGTTGGGCCAATCTATTATTTTTCTCTTTTCTCCTTAAACCGGGGCAGTTTATCGTTATTAATACCGGTTGGTTCCGCCTATTAATGGCGTATAGGCGATGCCTTTTGTCGGGTTACGGCTTGATGAGACATGCGGTACCTTTTTTCATGAACAGGAGAAGTGTATCGAACTGGAGGGCGCAACCCCTTTGTGTGGCTATCTTTACCATAGTATATTACACCATCCTGTAATGATTGAAGGGAGGTATTTCATGTTGGTTCACCTTTTTTTTTCTCTTTCAATACCAAAGACTCATGGATTTTTCTCTTTTCGCTCACTTTTTGCCTGATAAAAAGATGAAGGGAATGCACAGATACAAGCCTCCGCGTGGCTATTCCCGAGCAACACTCTTCTAGAGTGGCTAATGTGTATCTTTTCTTTTTAATCTCAATAAAATATGTGCTTTTAAACTATAAAATCTCTTTTACTTCAAGTCTATGTCCATAAAAAAAAAGGAACGGGGAAAAGTGTTCAAACAAGTAAATGGTTGGTCAAGATCCTTTGATTCAGATTGTTCATTAACTAATTCTACAATCATAAAAAGAATCAGAGTTTATATGTTTGACTGGCGTAGAAGAACTGATGGGCTTCTTCATTGAATTCACCGGATCAGATGTCATTCATAATGCACATGACACTGCCGTAAAAAAAACAAGAAGACCCTCAAATTTACAAGAGATCGGAATTGCTAATATTTTGAAAGCTAAGCTATGTAAGACACGTCCTTGATTTTGTATTTCACTGATGTTGATCGAGGCAGTCTTTACTACGACAGTTTTTGTAAATGCACTTTCCAAATAATGTCATGTGTATCTTTTATCCCCATAATCCAACTATTGCTCTCTTTCCATGTTAATACAGGTGCATATTGTCATACTTAGACTACCAACCCTTTACTCAAAATTCAGTAATACTTTACGATCAATGGATCCAGCTACCTACCTTGATCGTATGAGAAGCATTTAAGACCATTTTGGGATGGATCTCCAAAAACATAATCTTTACGTACAGGAACACTAACGATCAGGTTCAAAGATGGCAAATTGAATTTATTAAAATTTACATCACGACAAGACAAAAGTTTTTCTGTAGAACTACAATCACTGGGTTTATTAATTTATGAAGCGTGCATACGATATAAGTATTTACTGATTTTCATAATACATATCCACTTCAATTGTATATTAATGTGTAAGGACCAACGTAATACATCTAACACTAAAATATAAATATCTCAGCACCCATACTTTATAAAGGAAATACACTTCTTTAGTCTACTATGTACCACTTTGACTAAAATAGTGTGAGAAGACTAGTGTTCGAACTTTTCGAGCTTGCACCGATCTTGCGCCAGTTCGAACGAAGCTCGAACCGAGTTTTTTGTACTCGAGCTTGCGCCACTTCTTTTTGGGTTCGAGCGAGCATCGATCGAAGCTCGCTCGGCTAGAATGTCGATAGTAGTCACTTTAAAGTTAAGGTCCTTGAAAGACTAGTGATGGCATTTCCCCTTGATTTTAATCTTTTCTTCCCTTTACCATTTTGTTTTTAATTTATGCTCTAATAATTCCAACTAAAATGCTTTAGACTTTTATTTAATTGTACAACCAACAAACACATTTAGCATAGAAAATGATACAGCGCTGCACACTAAACCCAAATAATCCAAATTTTTACATCAACCATAGTAACATGACGTAGCAGAATTAATTTAAACTTTCATGTTCACAAATCCAACTGTATTATATTTATAGATGCAGTAATAGTTTGATTTAAGTATCCGAATTTGGTGTTAAGGCTGGTGAAATTTTTTTTTCTTTATCCAACTTGTGGAAATCGATGAAGATTTATAAAATAAAAACAAGAAAATTATCAAATTTGCAAAAATTAACTAAGGCTTTATTAAACAAATAAAAGGGGGTCTTTATATACACATTATTTCAGACATTGATCACAGATGGGCTGATGACGGTCGTGGGTAGATTCATCTAGATAATACTAGGATGTAATGATCCCATATAGAAAGGCCATAATGAGATGTCAATAACAATAACAATAACATTCATTCTTAAACTGTGTATGTCTTGTAGCACAATATTCAGGGGTATTATAAATTGGTTGTTGGTTTAAAGTGGTTTAAGTAGGAGTTTGTAAAGTTTGTAGTGAGCACCAAATCAAGTTATTAGGTTTGATTACGCCTTTTTATGTGTAGTAGATTAAAGTAGACTTTAGGAAAGTAGTAATACTGTTTGAACTTTTACGTCAAATTGAGTATAAGTATAAGAAATCAATAGTTTTGATTTAGGAGGATAGATAAATTATGTCTTCAAAAGTAGAAGAATAATATATAAGAGTTAAGGGATGGTTTACTTAGACTGTTTGAAGTATGTATGTTTCTTTTATCAGATGTCTACTATACAAGGTCTAATAATTTATAGAACGTTTCTTTTGACAGAGGTTTTCTTATAAATTAGAATAAACAAAATAGATGGGGGAACTTAATCTCGACTGTTTAAAGTATGTAGGTTTCTTATTACAGAGGTTTACTATACAAGATCGAATATTATACTGAAGGTTTCTTATTACAGAGGTTTTCTAGTATATATGTATTTAAGTTTTTATGAAGTGAAGTTTTTATTACGACTGGTTTAAGTATGTAGGTTTCTTATTACAGAGGTTTACTATACAAGATCGTGCTATTTATTGAAGGTTTCTTGTTAAAGATGTTTTCTAATATATAAATAAAAGAGAAGAAAAAAAAGAAGAAAATAAAAAAAGGAAAAGAAAATAAAAAATAAAGAGCGATAAACGACTCTGAAGGAAATAAGTATTTAAATTGAGATAAGAGAAGTCTGAGGATTTATTTATGAAAAAAGTAAGGGATATTTATATTGGTAGGAAGGACTTGTGTCACCACATGGTAGGAATAGATAAGGGTTTTTGCTGTATCACGAGACCGCAGGCTGGATCTTTACAGGGGAAAATGTAGTTCTTAATTCAGATAGCTGTGGCACCTCAATGTGGCAGATGTAACCTTCATATGTTTTCATATCAATGTTATTATTTAAATGTATGTCTTATCTTGTATGAAGGATGATATGAGATCAAGCCCGTACATAAAGTAAATGATCAGTATTTAATATAACAGTATCAATAAGAATTATATTTAGGATTATCAAATGGGAAGATTTAAGAAGTGTAGATAGAGTCACATATTAAGTATATAGCCTCGATCACGACACAACTTCTATTTCAATAAACAACAATTTTATTATCATAATTTTCTGTAATTAATATCACTTTGACGTTCACTTTGTGTAATAAAAAGGGCGAGCGAGTTCGAGCTATTGTATTTGCAACCGAGACGAGCTTAAGAAACTTCGAGCGAGCTCGAGCTGGAAAAAAATGCATTCGAGCGAGCTTCGACTGGAACACAATTGAAGCTCGCTCGAGAGTTTTAATGAGTTCAGCATCTTCATTGCTATACGTCTTTGGGCCTTTGCTTTCTTCTTCAATTTCGTTATTGTCCTTTAAATCATTTTCCATCTTTTTAATCGAGAGAAGCCCTTCTTCAGCGTGAATTAGTGCTTTTGATGTACTGCTAGATCCTTGATTGTTGCAGTCTTCGATAATCTCTTCCAGATTTCTTTTTACTTGACTTAAGTAGTATTGAGTATTTGATCGGAGTGTCTTGACATTATCTTCCTTATCCAATAAACTATTCACAATACGGAATATTGATGATAGCATTGGGTCTCCCCAATGTTGTCGCGGTACTTGAGTCATAGTATGGTGTGTAAAGAAGTAAGCCAGTGCTGTCATAGGATTCAAGTTTGCTTTGTCGAAATGATTATACACGGCATCCGAAGTCAACAGATAGCATCGCTTAGCCCAGAATTTGGAAACTGCCTCAAGTAGAAGTCCATCGGCATGGAGGTCGAATTCATTTTTAAATTCAGAGCTAGAAAAGGATTTAGTCACTATGACAAGTACGACGGGTTGTTCTTTGTAACGGAAATAAACATTTGAACAGTATTTTAAAAGCCTGAACATAAATTCTTGATCAACTTTATATTGCACTTCAATTAATATCGGTGGGAAGTTTTCAGACGCGTAGACCATATCAGATCGACTACCATCTGCCCATTTTGTTGGGACTACTAAGTAGCTGTCAGGAGACGCATCTATAAACTTGCTTCACCAAACAGTCTTACCTGGTCACCACCAGCTCCATACACCGATTGTTACTACCTCCAAGCAACACTGGCACCAATAATTAATTCACCACCAAGAATCACAACCCCCGAGCATTAATTCCCCACCAGGAATCACCACCTCTAAGCATTGATTCACCACCATGAATCGCCACCTCCGAGCATTAGTTCCCCACCAGGAATCACCACCTCTAAGCATTGATTCACCACCATGAATCGCCACCTCCGAGCATTAGTTCCCCACCAGGAATCACTACCTCCAAGCATTGATTCATCACCACGAATCACCGCCACCAAGCATTGAATCACCACCATATATTACCACCGAGCATTGGATCACCCCCAGGAATCGCCACCACCAAGAATCACCGTTTCCGAGCATTGATTCACCACCAGGAATCACCACCGTACTTGTATCACGAACGATATTTTTTTTTACATGGGCTAGATAGACCTATATACAACTTATATATTAGTATTTTCAAACGAGCAATACAAATATCGATGTATTACCAAGAAGCGTTTTAATAACTATACGCATTATTTCTGGATTACTCAGCAGCCTACTGCTCATTAGATCAGCGCCCGGTTTCCACTTCAATGGTAATGAGAATCTTTCTACACCTTCTTCCATATTTGAATAAGCCTCTTTAAGTAATCTGGTTTTGGTTTTACTTGAACGATTGTATCGGAAAGTGGCAAAGGAAAAAAAAACAATCCGTCACCAATCCGTCTGTCAGGGAAGTCGAAAATAATATATAATAGCAATAATATCAGAAAACACCTATTAGTTATACACAGACAAAGGAGAGTGGTTTATAAAGTATTTAATAATAATAATTGTTTATACGAGAAAGGGGAAGGAATACAAAATAATTGACATGGAACGGGGAAGGCGAGGGAAAGGGGAAGTATTTATTTCTTTACAGATAACATGGGTTTGCATTTAAGAATGTCTTGGCTTACTTAATTAGTCTTAGTTTTGGTTTCAGCTTACGTGGCCGAAACCCATGAGTCATGATTACTAATTACTTGGCGTCGGAGATACTTGGATGCGAGTCATGATTACTAATCTCTTCGAAACGGGGGTTCAAAATATGGATAGGCTTGGAAGGTTGAAAAATCCAAAAATCCAAAATAGAAAATAAGACAAAGTATTAACCAGATTGCAAAAAGGAACTGAATTTCATTGAACATAAAAATAATGATTTCTTTTATACATAAGGAATACAACTAAAACTACAAGCGGGACCCTGCCATCGTGGATAGATTATATCCAAATATTGTCCAAGCTGTCAATAAACCCGCAAGGAGCAGTAAAGAGAATATAATAAACAACCCGTACTTGAATAGGCATTTGGTGTTACGTGAACTCTGAAATTACCAGCTAACATATGATAAATATGACAGCAGTGAGAATACTTCCCTCGTTGTAGCACAAGCGTATTACCTTAGCTAAGGTGTATTTACAGCTCGCATACAACAAACGTCCTAGAGTAATGTAGGCAAGATCTTTGACAGAGTTTATTAAATGATAGTATAATAAACAGAAATAAGAGAAGATTACAATTGACAGAAAAGCAAAAGTACAGTGCAAGAAACAGGGCTTTTATCTTAAGAATAATCACAGTAAATACCATGAAAGACAAGTCGTTTTCCCAAAGAAAACCAAGAGATACTCTAATTTTCGCATTTACTTTTAAAGTTGTCTTTTTAAATTTATGGGATTTGTTCATGGAAAAGAGTGTGGTGTTTTGGATAGTAGAAATTCAGACAAAAGGAAATAAAACAAAAGTAGGAATACTTTGAGACTGTTGGTATGCTTTATTTCAGTTAAAAGAGAATTAGAGATTATCTAGTTTATGAGTCGGGGATATATATATAAGATGTCTGAATTTTAAATATAAAATTATTGCATAATGGAAGTACACTATTTTAGTGAAGTGTCTTCTTGCACTATTTTAGTTAAAGACGTGTGGAGACTAAAGAAGTGTATTTTCTTTATCAAGTATGGATGCTGAGATATTTATATTTTAGTGTAGAATGTATGATGTAAGTATATCTAATGTTATTTTTATGATGATGATTTTATTAGAAGTAAGCCAGATCATCACAGGGTCTAGCAATTTATATTGTAAAAGAATCTTATCTTTATTTTTATGCTTATTTTACGCAAACTCCCCCTACCCCCTACCCCTTATTGCCTGTCAGAACAGCCAAAAGTGAAGAACATGTTTGTAAAAGACATTAGTAAAAAAGTGGCAGAACTTTATACACTTTTAAGCGATAATAATTCACTTGATATTCTCGACAGCCGTTTCTAGACTTAGGTAGGGCTTCATAAAAATACAATAGTTAAAAGTTTATATCACATACCATGTTAGACATTTATACATCAGGATACATCCCCTCTACAAGAACTATTATGACTCTGAAAATAAAACAATTAGTTGTGTAAACTTGGCAATTGTAATCATAACCCCATACCTTTGGATAGACAGAACGGTAAAAAAGGTATTTGTAAAATATTAGGTCACCCTTCGATACACAGATGTATGGTTGATCAACCTCATAATCTATAATACATTATATAATTAGAGTGCATAAAAAAACAGTGTTTTAATAATTACCTTGCAATTCTGATAGTAATTTGTTTTGAAAAAAAAAATGTAATAGGGAAGATAAATGAGAAATAAAAGGAAAATAAATGAGAAAAAAAATAAATCCTATTTCATCAGAAAAAAAAAGGGACATTCAATTGACGTTCAAATAAGGTTTAATCAAGGTTCAATCAGTAATTTAAATCAACTTCCGCAGTTGATAGAAACATACGCATCTGTCTTGTTGTGTTTTGAGGTAAGTAATATTATAAGGCAGTATATAAATAATTTGAGACTGTTTATAAGATTGTCTTTATTATGAAATAAAATGATCAAGTATTTATATAAAAAAGACTATCTGCTGTACCACTATCTTTAGTGTATCTTTGAAGTTGTTATCATTTTCCCAGTGTGTATCCTGTTACCTTTAACTGCTTATTTTGTAAATATGTTACACTTGGAATTACTGTCATCTTAGACACATTGTAATTCCATATCTTTAGTAAGCCTTAGTCACTGTGTTCTTGTAACCTTGTGATATGATAGTACTAACTATCTATATTGGGTAATTGATTCCTTAATCATTCTAAATGTATTGATGTCATAGATATGGATTTATTTAATGTAGCAACAATATAGCAGATCACCACACCAAATACTCCAAAAGAGAAAAGCTCGTCATTGAACTCAGATACTCTTCTTCTACCAAGGTATCCAAATCGTCATAACCATGCATATTCTTTCCAGAGAATACTCTATTCACCTTCTTTTTTTCCACACCACCTAACACAGCAGACGGGTTCAAAGTCGCGAAATAGTCCTCCGAGTAAACAGACTGCAGGAATCGTTTCATATACGTGAATTCCACACACCCTTTTCTTTCGTCTTGATAGTTTTGACCACGCCATTGTACCTTTCGAAATTAAAAATCCAGGAGGATGGTCCAGGACCAAAATCTAAAAGCATATCACGCAGATGACAATGATAATGTGCGTTTGATACCATAAGCTCCGGTGGGTATAATCCCACAAAGTCATTTACAAACTTGATCATGTGGCCATGCATGATATCAATCTCCTCCAACGTAATTGATGTGCTGGAAAGGTATCTGTTGGCTTCAACAAAGTCCATCCAATTGTCGTAATATTTTTTGCCCAGTCTCATCGACAACAAATATGGCGACATGGCCAAAACCCAGGTTTTGAATTCGTCACTCTTCATGTGCCCAAAACCAACCTCACCCATGGTTATTTTTCTGCCAATTGATTGACCGTCATAGCCAAAAGGCAAAATCAATTTCGTCGCACAAGATTTTGACATCTCCTTCAAGTGGCTGTTCGTAATCAAAAGTTCACTTGCATCATCCAACAAAAGCGTCTTGTCTCTCCAAATTTCCCTCATCATTCGTTTTGCTGTGCCCATGAAAGCGTTGCGACAAATGTCAAACACAACAAAGGTGATGGGATCAAAATAATCCAGGCGCAGAAGCTCCAAATACCTACCACCATTTTCCCTCTCCAACTTCTTTCTGGCATCAGGAGTCGTTGTATTGAGCCATTTTGTAGCATTTATACGATGCGTAGCAGCATCACGAACATTCCAATCATTGTTACGAGGACCAGCAG